TTTCTTTCTTTCTTTCTTTCTTTCTTTCTTTCTTTCTTTCTTTCTTTCTTTCTTTCTTTCTTTCTTTCTTTCTTTCTTTCTTTCTTTCGTCACACATCAAACACTTCAAAATGTGTTCTGTTTTATTAATGTCTTTGCCTCGAATTAACCTTAAGCTGATGGATGGGTACTGGATTGAGCCCACAAGGGAAATTACAGCAGCAGCTCAAAGTACATACAAACATATGCTGTAGTACTTAACTATAAACATCAAGTACTATAGCACCATACTGAAGGCCTCATAATGTGAGGTAATACAAAGTTATACATGCAACAGTAATTAAGTAAAATGATAGCTTGGTGTTTTTGTTGATCTTCATTTCCTTAATTCCCCCATAAAATGTTTTGAAAACCTTAACTTTCTTCCTTCTGGACCATTCAGTATAAAACGGTGAGCTTCGACTGGCATTTATAATTTTCTGTGGGAGAGCAGAATTCATGTTTCTGTTAATAATGATAATTAATGGTGACTGTCTTACAGATAGTTTAACTTAGAACTCAGTGATCCAGGAGAAAGTTTTGAGGGTCATCATAGTGTGTGTGTGTGTGTGTGTGTGTGTGTGTGTGTGTGTGTGTGTGGCGTTCAGTACTTTTATTGTTTACTTGTCTTTTAGATTTTATTTGTATTTGACCATTGTGTACATGGTAAACTTCATTATTACGAAAATGGTGATGGCTGGTGCAGGGTTGGTAGAAAGATAATGTGGAGGGGATGGAAGTCTGTTTTGCAGCATTCTAACTTCAGATTTTTGTATTCTGCTAGGCCTAGCCTCCACACCCCAGGGGCTCAAATACAAGGTAATTGAGCTTCCTTATCATGGCAACACCATCAGCATGCTAATCGTTCTCCCGTCTGAAGAGGACACCCCTCTGTCTCGTGTCATTCCCCACATCAGCACAGCCACAGTGCAGAGCTGGACCAAACTGATGCACATGAGGAAAGTCCGCCTGCTCATCCCAAAGTAAGGCACAAACGCACATAAATATAATGTCCCTTCAAATTTGATACATGGTGACATTGTCTGTTACGTTGTGTTCTCAGGTTTACGGCTGATGCAGAGGTGGATTTGAAGGATCCACTTTCAGCTCTGGGAATCACGAACATTTTCAGTGAGGGCAAAGCTGACTTCAGACACCTCAGTGAGTGAAAGCAGAGTCACTGCAAACCAGACGCTGACACATGTTCTCTTGCACCACCACAGTATTTATCCAGTCTATTTAGATATGAGCAGAGCCTGGAAGTATGAATGGATTGTTGGCTGTTTACAGAGAGTAACTGATGGCCAGTAAGGAGCTTGAATCGTAGTTGGCTGTTCACTGTGAAACGCTGAATCACTGCTCCTCTTGTCTAGCCATTCATCATCTTCTTGAAAGTTTGGAATGAGAAGAGATGGGGATGAAGAGCTCTAGTGCCACCCTGTGGTGTAATTGGCCAAGAGTTTGTAGGATTTTCCCTAGGAAAGTACCCCATCAGCTTTCCAGCAGATGGGGATGCTCTATTGCCATCATGTGGTGTAGCTTACAAAGGACTATAACATACTTTTATATTTATGCAATCTATGTTGCATGTGGAAGGTCTGGTTCATACTGAGAAAGCAAAGATGATTGTGTATTGTCGTTTCCTCAGGTTCGGAGCCTGTGTATGTATCCAAGGCACTCCAGAAAGCCAAAATAATCGTGAATGAAGATGGAACAAAAGCAGCAGCAGCCACTAGTGAGCATTTGTTCAGTAAGCCTCATCTTTAACTTAAAGTTTCTCCCATGTTTTAACAATGTTCTGTTTTGTGTTGTTTTTTTTTTTTTGTTGTTTTTTTTGTTTTTTTGCTTTTGTTTAGCTGCTATTTTGTTGGCCCGTTCCTCCCCACCCTGGGTTACAGTTGACAGACCTTTTGCGTTCCTCATCAGACATAACCCGACAGGTACAGATTTTCTTCCATTTCCACCTTAAAATGCTGAAAAATGTTTGATTGTAAAGCACGGCACCGTGACGAGTTCTCCTTGCGTCTGTCTCCAGGTACCGTCCTCTTCATGGGCCAGATCAACGAGCCTTGAGCCCAGCCCCATCATCAACCATAGCATCATTTATCACAACAGGATATGCTTATACACTGCCATGTATCAGAATACAAAGTAAACATAAACACACCCCTACATATACAGAGCACACTTTGCTGAACATGTTTGTACAATGTGGATATATGATGTGATTTGTTTTAAATGTTGCTTTTTATGTTACTTATTTTCTGTATTGCATAACATGCTGTATAAAATGTATTTTGCTGACTAAATTTTCCAGTTTTAATTTTTTTGTATCCTTTTTTTGAATTAATGACATTTTTAAAAGACTTTGAATGTCAGTTGTGTATTTTCTCTTCTCTGGAGTAGGATAATCAGTTTATTTATCATGTCAGTGTTTCCGTTTCGTGTTGTAACTCCAGTCTGTATTACGTTTCACTCGTAAGTTACGGCAATATTCATGCCGTTGCAACGATTTTGCATTTGAAATTATTCTTTCCCTCAGAGAGAAAGTCTTCTTCAAACTTTTGGGGTGAGGTGAAGGAATAAATACACATTTATAACATGAGTGATTTTTGACTGGCTTATTTTCTGTAATCCAGTTAGGGAAATAATTTTAAACATTCTCTGATGTTTCTGTCAGTTAAGTTTATTTTAATAAAGCCAGACAGAATGTCAAATAAAAATCAAAGAAACACTTTGCATAAAAGTTATACATTTATTTGGATGTTATGTATATATCAAATAAGTATTTGATGTCCGTGCAAAACATCACAGAGTAATCGGGGGAGAAACTCTTGTTGGTGTGCAAAACACTTTCTTGTAGTTGGTTACCAGGTTTGCACACATCTCATGAGGGATTTTGGTCCGCTCCTCTTTACAGAAACTCTCTAAATTCTTTAGGTTACTTAGCTGCTGCTTAGCAACTCCAAGCTTCAGCTCCCTTCACAGAATTTCTATAGGACTTAGGTCTGGAGATTGGCTGGGCCACTCCATGTACTGGTTCTTTAGCTACTCCATTGCAGCCTTGGCAGTGTGTTTCAGATCATAAGTTCTACACAAAACGAGTTGAGATCAGGAATCTCTAATGCACTGAGTGTAATCAAATCTGTGGGAGCCAGAGTTCAGGCTGGGCTGTAGGGGATGAAATACTTATTTCACTCAATGACATGCAAATCAATGCGTAACTTTCATGAATATATTTCTGGATTTTCAGTTGCTTTTCTTCACTAAAAAAATGAAAGTATCATAAGATTTGAGACTTCAATTCTTTTGAAATGAGCAAACTTAAACATTTAGCAGGACATCAAATAATTATTTTCTCTACTATGGTAGTTTTACATGTATATCTGAATATTATGGTACTTTTTTTTTCTCTGGCAGTCATATATTAGTAATTTAGCGGATCCATCTAGTTTTTAGTCAGCACCACCAATGTACTTGAAAGCTTTTCATTATTGAGGGTCATGGATGGCTTGTTTATACAAGTTCCACAGGAAAATTTTTTTTTCTGTATTGGTCATGTGGGTGCCAATAAAACCCAGGGTAAAAAGTCCAAATCCTGTGTTACATAAATGAATTAAAAATATATTTTACAAATTGTTAAAACCCTATATATCATTTACAATAGGACAAAGACACCAATTTTACCATATACAGTACTGTGCATACTCTACTGTATCTCCTTGCATGTCTACATGATGTCTCTGTCTTTTTTTCTTTTGTTTTCTTTTCCTTTTAAAAAAAATATAGACGCAAATGGTAGCATATAGAATGAGAAGAGAACTGGACAAAGAATGAAACTTTGAGGTACTCCGTATTGCATGGAAACAGTGTTAGAAGAGGACCTGCTAGTCAGGTAAGACTAAAACATCTCAAGAAGTGAGATCAAGATCTTCTACTTGGACTGAATGCAGCAGTGAGATTCAGTAATACGAGTATACAGAGTCGCCATCATCAACAATACACCAGAGACTATTAAAAAGTCTTAAAAGAGCAGGTCCTGTGCTGTGATAGAATATCAAACCAGACTAGAAACGACACCGGTATCATTATCGTGTAGAAAAGACTGCAGCTGCTGGAAGAGCACTTTCTCTAACCGTTGGATAGACTGAGACTGGTCTAAAATTAGATGGTTCTGCAAGGTCAGCATGTATTTCTTAATAACAGATTTGTATTGGTTTTACTCGTTTTAAGAAGGTTGTCTACGGAAGAGGATTAGGGCCACTGGGGAAAAAAAGTGGGCACGTCTCTTTTTTTTTCTTCTTTTCCCGAATTCTGAATAAAAAGTCAGAATTCTGAGATTAAAGTCAGAAAAGAAGAAAAAAATAGACGTGCCCAGTGGCCTTAATCCTCTTCCGTAGGTTGTCACTGTCCCTGTCATTGAACACATATTTGTAATTGTTGGTGGCCCTATTACGTGAAAAGCTCGTTTAAACAGACGAAAGGGAATTATATGTGATTTACTTATAGTTGGGTTTAACTCAGCAATATTAGTTAGCGTCTCGTGGCACTTGGTTGCTTGTGTTGTGATCCAGCATCTGGAAAAACCAAATAGTCTCTCATACAGCATTTATAAAATTCACAGTCTGAATTCGTTGGTCGCATTCCTCACGTTATTACGGTGATCCCGACAGCGGCTCCGGGTGTCAGCTGATCCTCCTTTACTGGCGAGTAAGGAGGAAAATCAGCTGAAGGAAAACACTCCTGGCTAGTTAAAACCATGGCTGCGGAGATTCACTCGAGGCCCCAGACAGCTAGACCGGTTCTGTTGAACAAGATCGAGGGACACTCGGACGCTGTCAATGCAGCCGTTTTAATACCCAAAGAAGATGGAGTAATCACGGTTAGCGAGGACAGGTATGTTTACCAGGCAAGCTAAGTGTAGCCTAATACTAGCTAGCGGGGGCTCGGTCTATTTACTGGTCTTTAGACTCATAATACCTGGTGCACTAGCTTAAGAAGGACAGAATAAAGATAATAAGCAACGTGTATCCCTTTGAGAATATATATTTTCTAGGCTTCATAATAGCTGAGGAGAGCGTAGGAGGGTGTGGGGATAGAAATACACTCAGAATCTGAGTTCAATCCGGAAAATCTCTGGATAATAGTAATGGACCTAATACGAAATGTAAAAATAAAGCTTCTTTTGTTCAGTATGTACCGTTTATTATTACTACTCGTGGCTTAATATGTGTAAAGATATTAAAACTGCTTGCAATGTTGTGCTTTGCTAGCTAGCTTGCTACCGAGTACAGTAAACATTACTGTCAAAATGATGCCTTCAAGTGCTCGAGGATTTATTTGTCGAAATGGAACCCATTTTTGTAGTAATCGAAGTGGCTGTGATTTTTTTTTCTTTTTTTTTTGTGGACATTAAATACCACACTTAGACATGTTAGATTTTAGAAAATGCATGCTTGGTCACAAGTGTTAAAAAAGAGACTACATCCGCCTTCAGAGTAAAGGGAACTCAGTCAATACGAACAATGTTATACAGTACATATGAAAAGGAGAAGTTGTGGGGGTTAAAACGGGTTCCTTCAAGAAAGCTGCACAGACGCTGTGTTTCATGTCTGTTTTTCTTTTCCTCGCAGACACGTTACTTGCTAGTAAGTGAAACTGACTGAATTCCCTTTTTAATGGAAGAAAAAGGCTGTGGGAAGCGTACTTTGACTGCACTTGAAATGAAAAGTGCTGAAGATGCAACAGTACTCTAGAATTCCGCAAAGCTGCCCAGTTTCCTATGTAAATGGCACGTTTAATGACTGAGTCATAAGGTGTTACAGTGGAAAGAATCACAACCAAATCTGCATTAGAAGTGCTTTTGTTAAAATCAGGTTCCAGATGTTAGCAGGCCAAAAGAAGATCCAAGAAGTGGTTTAATGCTAAGTTTAGCTTTGAGTCACCTCTTCTAAAATGTGGTTTTATTTGTGATCTCAGTCAAGCATGAAGTCTGCATCACTTCTGGTATTAATATTACTTCTGACAGTCAGGTCTTGTTAAGGTAAAGAGTACTTTTCTCCATGGAAGGTGTTAAGTTGAATGTCATAAAATACGTCCTGCACAGAATGAGAATGTCGTTGCTTGTAGTTAACTGAACACTGGAGAGTACATTAAATGTTCACCTGTGTGACATGTTCCTGCAGAACCATCCGTGTGTGGCTGAAGAGAGACAGTGGTCAGTACTGGCCGAGCATCTACCATACAGTCTCCTGTAAGTAACGCTGTATCACGCTTGGGTAGGGCTGAACGATTATGGAAAATAATCTAATTGCGATTTTTTGCCCCAATATTGCGATTGCGATGCGATATGCGATTATTTTTTAAGGTCTTTGTCTTCTGTATTATTAAACAAAGACAAGCAATACATCATATAGTATGGCCAATACTATATTACATTAATTTTAATCTGTTCTTTCC